TTCCACCGCAACAGTACATTCTCACAACATAGAACCTCTTGGCTAAAACCTGTGTTCGACTCTTATTCCGTAAAACATAGTTTTAGTCGAAGTAATTAGATTTCCCCATAAAACTCTATTTTCTATTTTTAACTCTGTTCAGGCGTCGAAATTAGGAGCCAACAATATGTAATTTTTCAAAGTTGGCCTTTTTCGTGGCGTTGGCTGATGTAATTTTTTTTAATTGTAAGAAGTGAAAGTTCAACTCTTTTAGTTCGACGGTGATGGAGACTACATTGATCTCCATAGCTTTTCATTCTCCCTCCTTATGATCTTGTTGCAATGCTTGGTAGATTCTTTTGGCTCCGGTAAGGTCAAAATTTATTGTGGCTGGTTCACCATGATGATTGTGAACTTTAACTTGAGGTGGACTAGGTATGTTACAGCATATGCAATTGTAGACGCTTTTGCAAAGGACCACCCGAAACTCCGATTCAACCATTCTAACATCTTTCCCCTCCTCTATGGTAATCATCAATTTAATGTACCCCTAAGGAAGGTTTTTTGTGACATTGAGTTCCTATAAATCGGATCGCTCATACAACCACATGCTTTCCTCCTTTAAGCCCATCTTCTCAAACAACTATGAGTACATTATGTCAATAGCATTGCCATCATCAATTAGTGTCAGGGACATATCAAAAATTTTCAATAGTGGAATTTATGACCAATAGTAAGATATCATTTGGGATCCCCCTGGGCTTTTCGTTATCCCGCGTACTAAGCATTTGTGTTTCCAGGCCCTTAGTTGAAGTACTTCCGCTTTTCTTGTTGAAGGACATTAAGTCTACAACCTTCCTTTTCATATTCCCCTTAAATGGAGCATTTTCTCTAGGGAACCTCTTGTGATGGTCGTAATATGATGGTGTTTCCCCTTATGTGCATTTTCTTCTTTGTTGCAAACCTCTTACCATTGGTCACATCATCAACTGTCATGATCGAGGACTTTCTCTTTAGAGTATATTTCTGGTCCCTTTTCCTGCCTTTGATTTATTCATACAAATGGCCTCTCTTTAACAAGTCCTTGATTGCATCCTTCAGTTGGATCCAGTCGTTGGTGGTGTGGCGGTGACTTTTGTAGAAACACTAGTACTTTGTTTAATTAGTCTGAGAAGATTTTCTGGTTGAGTATAGATTATTAATCCCGACCTCCCAGAACTTAGTGTTAGTATAATATTTATAGATATTCTCTCTTGAGGTATTGAGGGGAGTGTACTTGTCAAACTGGTCACAGGTCTCGCGGTCCCAAATGGCTGGCTGGAGCTTTCATTCGTTAATGCCTCATTGTCTCCCCTTAAGATAATTTTCTCTTCAATATTAAAAAAAAAAGGTTATACCCTATAAAATAACTCTTTCAAACTGTGGGTATTCGTGAGCCCTAACTTTTTCCTGAAGGAGCTATCCTGCTTTAAACCATTTTCAGAAATCAAGCATATGAGGATCTTGTTGGAACCTCCCACTTATACATCAACTTGTGTGAAGCGATCGATATATGAACCTAAACTCTCCTTCTTACCCTTAGTAATTCCACTGTGGGCGGTTATCCTCATATGTTGCCTTTTCTGGGCTGTAAAGCTGACATTGAAGTTCTCTCATAAGTCAGTCCATGAATTGTTGCTTTTGTCGAGTAGAGATTTGAACATGATCCTAGCTAGTCTGGTTATGGTTAGTGCAAATAGCTTGAGCTTTGCTGCCACATCAATATGGTAGTAACTCAAGAAATCGTCAACATATTACACATGTTCATCTGGATCACATTTTTAGTTGTAACTATTCATCTTCAGAGGTTTTTCTAGCAATTTTGGTATTCAACTATTGATGATACGAGCAGAAAAAGGATTTTTTTTTTGTTTAAAACTATAGGCTTATCCACTTCTTCCTCGGGGGCGTGACTTCCTTGGCCCCCTTCATGATTGGTAAGAGGAGTCTAACATTTCTAAATTCTTCGATTACATGGAGATCTCAGGGTCGTGTTCCGTGAGATGCGGGTGGTTTGGGAATGAAAATATGACTCATTTAGGAAGTGGCTTCTTGCACCTTATTTCCCTTGGATTTGCTTGTGCAGTCTTTCTTCGAGGAGAACTAATATTTCCTCTAATGCCTTTGAGTTCTGCTATCAAACAATGTTGTAAACATTATTTATTAGTTCGTTCGCACCTTGCACGCTGAGGGTGGCCTACAACATTTGGAAACTAGGTAACGTCTATGTTCCTGGTATTACTAGAGGTGCTAGAGGTCTAAGTGTTGGTTTTCCTTGTTGAAATTATGGAGTAGAACCTATGAATGAGGGAGGTTGAGCAAGATATTGATCTGGTGTGGACGGAGTGTTCACGATTACTTGATCTCCACCGCCTAAAGAAGGAGGTTATGGATCTCTTGCAGCTCAAGCAATCGTGGCTGCCTCGCTCACTGCACAGGAGTGATTGGCATTGGAACCTACTATTGTTGGTGGCTCTATATTCAGATCTGAGAAGATGTGTTGATCTAAGATCCGAACAGATCAAGAATCAAATGTTAACGATTTGGATTTGGTAAATTTTAATTTCTATGTTAAGGAAGCTTTGGTTCAGTGAATCAATAAATGAATGTTCAAACATGGACAACGCCAGAATCAGATGTTGATTTCCAAAGACGATGCCACTATTCTGCAAGGGAACCAGAATTGATCGGTGATCATAGGTTGTGATTGCAATGTGAACTTGAGCTTCTAGTGCAGTGAAATAAGGGTTAACCTGTATGTTTAGCACTTGAACACTCAAGTCAGTATGAGAGTAAGAGGAGTGAATAAAGTTTGAATTCAAATTGTACCTAAGAAATAGTGCGCCTCACTCGTATATTGTAGGGCGGTTATAACAGTTTGCTGATCTTTAGGTGTAGAATGTGGAGATTTGTCTGATGTATCTTGGGTTGAGATCACTCTAGACGAGGATAGCATACCTTCTCTGTTAAAGACATGGTGGATCATTATGATCTTCCGAATCGTAATTATTGAGCCTTCTGACCGACGCAGAACATACACAAACATAAATAGCTTTCTATTCTAAAAGCATATATATATATATATATATATATATATATATATATATATATATATATATATATATATATATATATATATATATATATATATATATATATATATATATATATATATATATATATATATATAAAAAATACGTAAAATGCACCATTTTATTAGCTCGACTTACACATGTTTTAGTGTCAATTTTTTTTAAGTGTTATGCTGATACTGTGTGCTTATTTCAAGTACGTAGCAATTAGAGGCCTATGCACGACTAAACGGTGAAAAATGGCGAAAACGGGAAGAAAATGCAAGTTTTATGCTGTCATGACGGTCGTCAACCCCCAGGGGGAGTCAATCTGTCAACAAAGTGAGAAAGAAAAGTTTAAGCCATGTGACGGCTGGCCCGTCAGCAAGAAGACACATGTCACAGTTATGACGGACGGAAACGTTAGCAGCGTGATGCGTGTCATTACGTTGATCCCTGGTTTTTTCGTCCATGCTTCAGGATTCATTTTTTCCACATCCATCACTTTCTTCACTACTCACGCACAATTTTAGACCGTTCTGAGCGAAAATGTATCTATATATAGGAGCTTTATGCATTGTTTTAGGCATCCAAGCTTTGTAATAGCTAGAAATTTATTTTGTAAAATAATTTACATCTTACATTGAGGTGTATTTGCAACATTAGTTTTAAGAGCTTGGATATTTATTTTCTGCAATTTGTGGCTGCTATTTTCTCTTCCATTGTTGTTGGTTTCATTTCTGTACCGAAATTGGAGCATTCTATTTTATTCAAGCTCATTTTCTATCCAGTTTCTACATTTTATTGCTTTTCTTTTACTATCTTTATGCTTAATTTCATGCTTATTGCTTTCAATATAAACATGAACAATACATGCTTTAATTTTATCGTTTTTAACATGTCAGCCTAAATAAACTGAATCTGAAATGTGAGAATCGTTACATCAACGGTACTCTAATAAATCATATGAATAATAACTAAAACAAGGATTACTTTTAAGTCTCAAAAGTCAGTTTTTAACGCTGAAAATTTACTGCAAAAGTAGAAATGGGTGATATCAATTTCAACTCAAAAGAGTGTAATTTTCCTTTAGAAAATTCAAAATTTAATTTAAAATACATTGAAATGACTTTTCTATTTAATTTAGCAAAATCTAATTTTTAAAAAGGTGATATTAAAATTATAAGCGGACACACGAAAACGGACGTTTATACGCTTAAAATTCGATACCGATCACGCAAAAGCAGACCGTACCTTTAAATTACTTTTCTACTAAAAATAACTTTTCAAAGTAAAAATTAATTATTTTTCAAAAGGGATTATGCAGTGTAACATTGTAAACGCAAAAGCAGACAGATAGATTACATAATCAAAAATCGGGTATCCGTTACGTGAAAGCGGACGGTACCTTCAACTTAATTCATTTTCTACGAGAATATATTTCTTTTTTATCTTTATGAAATACGATTTTGTGAGTGTCAACGATCGACGAGAATCTCATTCCGATCTCTCGTTATAATTAATTTTCAAAACCTACTTAATTTCCAATTCTAAGTACAAAACTCATCTGCATCCCCTTAGAGCATCTCCAATGGTGCAACCCACTTTTGAGTTTTTTGTGGGACCCATTAAACCACATCATCTTGAAACAACTCGTTCAATTTTCACTCCAATGGTGCAACTCTAAAGAACCCATATTAGATCCCACATCTTTACTTTATATATTAATATTTTATTTCTATTAAAGTTTATTTGATTTAAAATAATTATTTAAATTATTTAAATTTAAATTAATAAAATAAATAAAGTTAAAACTAAACATAAAATTTAAAATTAAAATTAAAATTAATCTCAAATACATGACGTAATTAAAAACAATAAAAAAAAATAACATAACAAAATTACTCAAATTTAATTTTCATCATCCTCATGTCCAAAACGTTCCCAAATATGTTCGATTAGATCTCCTTGAAGTTGGCGATGAACTTGTTTTTCACGAAGACTTGCTCTTCTTTGTAGTCTTGTTGCAATATTCGAATGGGGACCGTTAAATATTTCAGTTGTTGAGTACATGTCATCTACATTATCATAAGAGTAATCAAAATCACCTTCATATGTGTGTCGTTCATCTTCAACAATCATGTTGTGCAAAATGATGCAAGCATATATGGTATGCTTGAGGGTTTTCATATGCCAGCCACGCACCGGGCCACGTATAATTGCAAATCGAGATTGGAGCACTCCAAATGCCCGCTTCACATCCTTTCTAGCTGATTCTTGATGTTGAGCAAATAGTTTTCTCTTTTCTTCCTGCGGCATTAAAATGGTCTTGACAAATGTAGCCCACTCAGGATATATACCATCCGCTAAGTAATACCCCATATTATATGATGTTCCGTTGGTTGTGTAGTTCACAGTGGGAGCATGTCCTTCCAAAATATCGTTAAACACATTGGATTGGTTTAGCACATTAACGTCATTGTTTGAGCCTGCAATACCAAAAAATGCATGCCAAATCCATAGGTCTTGTGATGCCACTGCTTCAAGCATGATTGTGGGCTTACCATGATCACCTTGACAAAATTGTCCTTTCCATGCAACATGATAATTTTTCCATTCCCAGTGCATACAATCAATAGAACCTAACATACTTGGAAAACCACATGACTCTCCCATTTGTAAAAGATGTTCAACATCTGTGTTGTTAGGCTTTCTCAAATACTCTGCCCCAAATACAACATTCATGCCCCGAATGAATCTTTCTAAGCACTCAACTGAAGTGCTTTCACCGATTCAAACATATTCATCTACACTGTCAGCGGGAGACCCATATGCCAACATACAAATAGCAGATGTGCATTTTTGCAATGGTGAAACACCCATTTTACCAGTTTCATCGACCCTCATTTGGAAATATTCATCATAATTTCCAAGGGCGGCTACAATTCAAAGAAACACATGCCTATGCATTCTAAACCTTCTTCGGAATTGAACATCTGTGTAAACTGGATTTTCCGAGAAGTAGTCATTGAATAAATGATCGTGCCCTTCTTCACGACTTCGATCTATCATTGTTCTTCTCTTTAGCCTAGAGGAACTTCCAGATTGATGTTCCTTCTCGAGCATTGACTTTATTAGATCTTCATCAGTGTTGTCCATAAATTCTTCTTCAATCATGTCCCAAAATAGATCATCTGAATTGTCTGAATTGTCTGAATCCATTAAAGTGAGTGAAGAATGAAAGAAGAATGAGAGAAGAATGAGAAAATAATGAGAAGAGTGGTCATTTATATAGTGATATATGAATAACGGCTAGTTTGAATAACAACATAATATTTATTATAAATTAAATTGGTACTAATGACCATTTTACATAGGTGTTGATACATAACAAGTACTACAATTTGTCATCATGACTAAATTTCATTTTTTTTCAACTTATTACAATATTTTTCATGAATATCTCGTTGACTATCAGTCATCGTAGAAGTGTCTTTCGAGAGTAATCGCATTGCCTTAAACTCCATCTCGTCCTCCTTACATTGAGCTAGTCTTTCCATTGCTTCTACTCTTTTATTCCATGTATCTTGCACAACATTAAAAGGTGATTCAGATGCTTTTTCCTTTGCCTTACTCTTTCTTTTTACTGCTTGTTGTCCCATTGGACGCTCTATTGGTGATGATGAGTTAAACTCATAACTTGAAGGTGTCGCGAGGTCAGACGATGATGAGTGTGCCTGACTAGCAGAATTCTTTGTTCTTTTTGAAGAAATTTTTGTTGATGCTCCCATCCATTTAGGTTCATCCTTTAACAATCTCCATGCATACTCAAGATTGAATGGTGTACCTTCATCCTGAGCAAAAAAAGCATATGCAGCGGCCAAGATATCTTTCTTTGATGTCCCACTTTTCTTTCCATTAACAGCTTGTTTGTAACACCCAACAAATTTTTGAACCAAGCCATTTATTCGATTTTATCGAGATTTTAATTGCCCACGTAGCTTTTCCCGCGACTTCCCACGATACTCATTATAATTGTTAGTGATTCTTAAACAAAAACTCTCAGCCTTTTGATCAACATCCACAATTGGATCTTTTGAAACATTGAGCCATGATTGGATAAGAAGTATATCTTCATTCCTTGAAAATACCTCTCGAGGTTTTTTTTTAACGGGACAACTTTCTTCTTTTTCAATACCGACTTGAGCTGAAAATGGTGGAACTTGACTTTCGGACATAAACACAATTAGTGGTTGTGTTTCTGGTTCATGACGAAAAAATTCCATAGACTGTTGAACATAGGGCGGAGTTTGGTGATGGAAAAAATGCGGCGGAGTGTTTCCGGTTGGTGTCGGAAAAAATGCGGCGGAGTTTGTTGGCATCGATGAGAATCGAGGATTTTGAGGATTAGAATTTTGATAATTTTGCATGAAATTGAACATAGATTGTTGATAATTAAATTGATTAGGATCCATTTGGCCTAAACAATATTAATTTTGAAGTAAAAAAGATGAAAATTTGGGTAAAATGAATGATAATGTGAATAAATTGTAAGAGAAAAATAAATTTAAAGTAAAGTGATGAAATTTTGAGAGAGAAATTAAAATCTTAAGAGAAAATAAAAGTAAGATAGAAAGTTTGTGTAAATTTTTTTAAATTGGGTGTATTTATAATAAACTAAAAGTGTTAAAAGAAAAGAAAAAAATAACCGTTGCAACATTAAATTATATTAATATTTTATGAAAAAGTGTTGTTACACTACATTCTCACGGTACGTCAACCAGACCAACTCCAACGGTTACGTAATGATAAAAAAACCTAGGCTACATGTAAAAACATTGAAAAATCCACCCATTAGAGGTATTCTTAAATAAGGAATTAGTGGCAAAGAATGGTACTTGTCACTTGATCTCCCATGAATTCTGACATCTTTTATATTAAAACTGACAAAACCATACACTTGCTGACAAAACCATACATCTTTTATAACATTTCGTGTCGCCTTGTTCGTTATTGTCGGATCCTAACCTTTTCTATTAAGTGTGAATTTCACACAAACTAAAGAGTTTATAATGCATCAACTTCTCAGAAATTAAAAATGCACATATGTTGTCCTTATTAAACAATCATTATTAGATTTATCTATAGCAACGCTCTATTCTACCTTCCTAAAAAATTGATATAAATTGGGACCACAACAATTTTCTTTTGAATGTGTTTCCGTAGAAATGCAATGTGCATGATTTTTCTTAGACGTGTTTCAATGCAATGTGTATGATTTTTCTTAGATGTGTTTCTATTTTTGATTGGCTAAGAAAAATAATATTTGTATTATCCTTTGAAATCAACGATCTATGTTGTCTCTAAAACGGTATTGATTAACTCTAATCGAGACATATAGGTTGTCCTCTTCTACCTTTGGTTGTCTATTTTCTTTTTTTTCGACAATTTACTATGATTCTTTTATTTATTCTCTATTTATCAAATAGATACATATGAGTGATATGTTAATGAGATATATTACTATTTTTTAAAATAAAAAATATTATAAACTTATCATTTGAATTTAAATCTTTTATAAATTGAGACTATATACAATTTTAATTGATTGATTAAATTAAAATCTCTTTATTACTAAATTAAAAACGTTTGGAAAACTAAGGCTTGAATTTGAAGGAAAAGAAATCAGGGAAATAAAAAAAATTAAATAAAAATTATATTTTTTAAAACTATTATTGTAAATAATTCTTATTATTTATTTATTTATTTTTATAAACTAATTTTCAAAGTATTATAAAAATATATATTAAATTTTAAATTATATATTTATGAAGACATCTCAAGCCTCATCAATCTAAAACTCAAAGTTCTTGTGTGATGCTGAAGTCAAAGATAATGATAGCAAGACTTGAAGCTTCAGAGTTGCGAAAGAGAAAAAGTGTAAAACTTCGTCTGATCATACCCGTTTGAGTGATCAGAGTCTTGTAAAGGCAAAAGGGTATATCTTGAATAACTAAGGCAAAATCACACACATGCTAAAACCTTTGAGAAGTCTCTCCTGATTTGTTAAAACTGCCTAAAATGTTTTTAAGTCCTAACTAATTGATTAGGGAACTATTTGATCAATTAAAAACACTATTTATAAAGGATGATTAGCCCTTGTGCTATAATGGATTATTTCCATTTGTAACGTTTATAATTGATTGTAACAAATCTCTTAATGATTGGCAACTACTAGAAATCAAAATATTTCATTTTGGAGTCTAATAATCAATTAGGCTAATCGATTATGTCACTTATTTCGCCCATGGATAATTTTCAAATTTAAACTTGATTTTTCACTATAAATAGAGAGATGTTCTACCATTTCAAATAACTCAAAAAACGATCATTGGTCCTACTTTCTCACTCTCTCATCTTTTTCAATAAATCTCATTTTTCTCACTTAAATTTTGTCTTAGTACTTTGAGAGTATTTTTGTGCTTAGTGAGGATATTTATTCTGAGTGAAGGGTGTGTTTGTAATTTATCCAACAGTATATTATCTCTTGAGTAAAGTATCTTTTGTAAGAAGTTGTTTGGTTGTGAGTTAAACCAGTAAAAGCTCTTGTTTGATTTAGGGATTGTCTTATGAAGTCTATGTGTTCGTGAGTTTCTCCTGCTGCAAAAGATCTCATTTAGTTCGTGAAGATCAGCCAGTAAAATATCCATAAAGGTTCTTGAGCTCAACTTGGTGTAAAAGCTCTATTGGTTCAAGATCGTCCCATATAAAATATCTTCTTAGTTCAAGATCTACCCGTGTAAAATCTTATATTGGTTTGAGATTATTCTGTGTAAAATATCATCTTAGTTCGATATCAACTCGTGTAAAATCACATATTGGTTTGAGATCATTCCGTGTAAAATATCATCTTAGTTCGATATCAACTCGTGTAAAATCACATATTGGTTTGAGATCAGCTCGGGTAAAATCTCAGCTCGGTTTGGAGATCAACCTATGTAAAACCCGGTTCACTTTGGAGGATAGCCAGTATAAAATTCCATCTTGGATTAGAGACTAGCCCATACAAAATCAGTGTTTGGTTCAGATTATAGTCAATCAAAACTCCAAGTTTGGTTGGAAGTTAGTCATTAAACTTTAAATCCTTCTAAAAGGAGGATTGAAGGCATATCCTATTAAAAGCTCTCAAGATAATAGAAGCTCTCAAGAAGAATTCTTTGAGAGGTGATTATTCACTTTCATTTAGACAAAACCTCTATAACTTGCTAGTGTCTTTCTATTTCCTTTATCTCTTTTACTTCTCAATTATTTTCTTTCCTCTAGTTTCCTGTTTGTTTCTTTATTTCGCTGCTTATTTCTTTGTTTCTTTTAGAGACTATTTTAAACTCTAATTTTATCAAAGATTTTGTTTTTAATAAAAAATTTTCAAATATTCACAATTCACCCCCTCCCCTCTTGTATTTGGAGTCACTTGTTAAACATAAACTGGGTACAAAAACCACACTGACACGCCTTCAAAATTATATCCCCCCAAATCAAGCCTTACTTAAGAGTTTGGAAATCCTTTTTCATATCAAGCATAGAGACCACCAACAATAACTGTGTTTGCAACTTACCAAGGGTGTTCTCACTTTCGGAAATATTGTAAAGAACCCCATTTAATGTTGATAAGCTGATATCGAATAGTATAAACTCTCTAAAAATTCTATCATAAAATTCTTTGAGCACGCCTCTAACTTGGAGAAGAATGTTAAAAAAAATTCTAACCCATAGAGTAAGACTAAGGAGCTCTTTCATCAACCTACTTGACATATGCTCTATGTCTCATGAACTAGTTACATGACACATCGGTGCTAACCTTATAGAATTCACCAAGATATATTCATTCTTCCATGACAATTGCAGATGACTAAAGACGAATGAGAGGGGTGGAATGCATTTTTGCAACACGATATTTTTCTTTAAAAGGGAAAATGTTTCTAGTTGTTAGGTTCCAAAGTTTTATCATATTAGATACATCTTTTTTAGCATTGAAGTAAGAATAAGGTAAGGAATTACCAAAGGTTTTTTCCCTCCTTAATTGTAATGTATATTTTATATCTTTTCTTTGATTTTTCTATGAATCCCTTAAGGATAAGTGACTAGTTTTCCTAGGTTAAGCTTCTTTAGATTAATTTTCCCAAATTTTTGTGAACCATGTTATGCATTTAGATATGCTTTTT